CAATATGCAGGCTGGTCTAATCTAATAATTTATTCCATTATATTATAATTCTTTTATTCCAAGACTACCTATATGACATTAAATTTATAAGGATTTATAACTAGTTTGAATCCAACATCTTCAGTTATGCACTGTTGAAATTGGCTCGTGGTTTAGTAGCACACAAGACAAGATTTTTGACCAACTTTGAATGGTCATAACATTGTTGCTTATTGAGCTACCAAGATAAATTTGGCAACATTTTTTATTTTATCAAGCTCTCTATGTCTCTTGAAATTTTTTAGATATATTGAAAGTAAAATTTTAGTTTTGGATACCTATTTTAAGGTATTTACATCATGTGATTAAAATTTATTGTCAAACATTTAATGTGTATCTTGATATTTAATGTAAAAATGTTTTTCAATAAATCACTATTATACATTGAGTAATACAAGTATACTTTTGCTGTGTGTGTTTTTATATATATATATATATATATATAAATGTGTGTGTGGTTCATACAGGTCGTGGAAAATTGACAGGATCTTTTTCCAGGAATTTTCTAAATTGCCCCCCCCTCAATTCATTAAGGCCAAAATCCCAAATCCCAGTAATCAGGGTTTTTTTTTTTTTTTTTTTTTTTTTTAAATTTTCCTTTAAGAAAAATGTTTTTGGGTTGTCAGTGATATATGGCAATTACTGCAAATGGTGGTTAGAGTGAGTTTATGACCTCGTAGTTACTTTTCTCATGTAGGTAATGAGAAAGAATATGAAGGTATGTCTTCTTGTAGCTGCTACCCTCACTCAGCAAGAGAAAAGGAAAAGCAAAGATAAAAGGTGTTAAAGACAAGTAAACATCTCTGTCAAAGATAAATTAATTTATACTCATTGAATTTGCAGTTGGAAGAAAAATAGATTATTTTACAGTAATAAAATACATTTTAGCAGAATCTCAAAAAATTTCCTTATGATTTCTAGCCAGCAGTGGGTAAGTTCATGCTGAAAAATAAATACTTTATGCATCCTGTGTCAATGTATATCTATGTGTAAGGTATGTTTGTCTAAATTGTTGCCAAAAGTTGTTGTTGAGAATCAAATTTGACTCAAAGAAAATGTAGACAGGAAAGATGATAGATAATTTCTTTGTGTCGTAGGATAGGATAGAAAATAAAAGAATGTTATTTTTAAAGTTTGCAGGCTAATGATGACCTGTATCTCAATTGTGTTGACTGAATATCATTAAAAAGCATATCATAACCCATGATATTAATGATTCATGTCATGTATGGCCATCCATTATGCACACTCAAAAAAAATTCTTTTTTTAAAATACAGGGTGTTTGCAAATGCTTTTTTTTCTTTTTCTTTTTTTTTTTTTTTTTTGTTAGTGGCTTATTTGGCTTTTATTGCTTGGGTTTATATTAAAAGTTCAATCTGGCAACCCTGTTCATTTACTTTTGTGTTTCTGCCATAAATGGCTACAATATATACAAACATGTAAATGACATATGAGATATTTGGCATGATGTCATCGAATTTGTGATCTTAATTAAAAGAGACAGTAAAATGGCCCTGTGTCCTTCATTGCAGTGCTGTCACATGAGAATGATGTTTTTTTTATTTCCAGTGAAACTGCAGATTTTTTGTGTTTCAAAAGACATTGAACCATTTCTGATAAAAAATATCAGAGCAATAAATCATTGCTTCATTTCCTTGCAGATAATCTTTTTAGCATGGTTATGAAACTGTTAAGATTTGTAAAGGAAGAGGACACTAAAAAAAAAAAAAAAAAGATAATTAGATTTTTCAAAGTAAATGAATTTGTAATAATTTTGTCAAGCCCAAATATGCATAAAGATAGTGTGGAGTTCTAGCAGATAGGGTTATACAAAATTTATCCGAAAAAGGAAATGTGTCAACAAAAGATCTGTTTGCATTCAGAATTACAACAAAGACAATATTCATCACCATCATTGAGAAAATTCTTGTAAAGTCACTTGCATGGCTGAACCCTGGATCCATTTGTGAAAAAAACAAAATCTGCCACAGAAGACAGTCTAAAAAGATTTCTTTCCCACATGATGGACAGAAAAAAAGTCAGCAACTCTGATTGTGATGACATCATCAGCCAGTACAAAGGGTTTTTTTGAAGAGGAGGCTGCTGGAAATATTGCTTTCAAGAATTTCAGCAAGTTTGAAGACTGGGCACTTTGTTCTACTCTTTGTCTAGCAACAAATATAAAACTTTGTGGAAAGTTGTTAGCAGATTGCTGGTACTCATGAACAGAGAGAGGTTTCACGGTCAATAAGGAAATTTCCACTGAAGATGAAACAGCAAGCTCTGGTTGCACAGTGCATTATCACAGACTATTTGGCCACAGTTGGAGGTGCTGGGAATGTTCCCCATGACTAAGGCTCTTCTCTGCAGTGCTTCCAATGCCAGAACAGCATGCAACTAATACCTTGAGGCCAAGAAGAAAAAAGGAAGAAGCAGCTGGACAAAAACAAAAATCCATGAACACACCATTAATTTATTCTATTGTAACCAAATGCACCCAATTATAAGCATGGTGAAAAAGCAATTAAAAACATAATTCACTGGTACATATCACTGAATGATCCTAACAAACACCTAATATTCATCATCTACTATTTTATCAGTTTTATAATAATAAAAAATATAAAAATTTAAATTAAATTAATGAGTAAATATATCACATTCTTTTTGTGCATTTTTTTTTTTTTGTTTTGTTCCCAATAGCTGTTACACATGATGTCACGCTAGACTATTTCAAATGTCCAACTTCCCAAAGAATATCAGGATGCAGACAAAGGGACTCTAACTACTACACAGACACCACATTGTTGATAATGACTGCAAAAGTTAAAAATACTTGAACAAACAAAAAATGAACTTTGGATAATTTATCCACAACATTGAGCACAAAAGTCAACACCTTATCCAGAAATTGGGAAAATACATTACAAAATTAAACAGACCTTGTCAGTTCTTTTTAATCAAACTGATGTGGATTAATACTTGCTGCATAAATATACCTTATTCACACACACACATAGGGTGTCCGTAAAGTTCGTGTGCACTTTAAAAGATTTATAACTTTATTTGTATTTGTGATAGAAATACTTTGTAAAAAGGATTAGAAAGAAGTAAATCTATATTTTTTTAAGGTTTTATTGAAATTTTATTTAAGTTTCCACATCTCCTCCATCATTAGCAATACAAATGGTAATACAATTTTGCAGTTCACGCAAAACATTTGCCAACTGATTTACAGTAATGCCTGAAATCACATTAGTTATTTTAGCTTTCAAATCTTCTAATGAACTAGGTTTGGTTGCATACACAATTGTTTTCACATGTCCCCATAAAACTGGGTTGTAATTGTGTGGTATATGTGAAAGGCCTAGGTCTAGATGTACCGATTGTCCTTAAAGTCAGTAACACATGACACACTGGAACTGTGTAGTTCATAGATTTTTCCTCTTGCCTGATGTGTGGAAATAAGTCAGTTGATCACACTTTAAAATATATGAAACTCATGGGTGACATCAAGCTGTCTTAGTGTTTGGGAAAACACTAGGTGGTATTTTTTATTCACTGAACTTACAAAGATGCATCAGGATCACTCAGTCTTCCAAAGATACTGTGTATCTGTTTCCAGCCTTAAAACATGTCCACACTGGTCACTACCATTACTTGTTTATATTTTTGAAGCTTGACCACTTATAGGCTAATCAACTCCTACTGCACAAAATGTGAGGATGTGGCTATTCAAAAATTATGCTATAGTCATGAGATATTGTGAGCAAAAATAGGCATACCTTAATCCCAATATCCCTAATTCATTAGGCATTGTCTATTAATTCTATGCACACTTTAACTTATTACTTAAGTACATTTATTAAATACATTTTTATCAAGTTTGTATGAGACTAAGGCGATTAATTAAAAATTGCCTCATGTACATCCTTTCTTTGAAATGTTATTTTTTATTTAAATTCTTCAAGGATACTTCATATTTTCTTTTATTTTTTTCCTATTTTTAATAGCTTTTGTAAAACAAAGAGGCAAAAAAGAATAATCACAGTTCCTGTCATGTGATTCAATTGTTAAACTAAATTGTAGAAATAGGCAAAAAAAAAACTCTGTTGAAAAATGTTTTCTATTGCTTTGAAAATTGTATTTTATGAAAGCAATTATTTAGTACCATTTGGGGATGGGGGTTAAACTATTTTTCTACATATTTTTTGGTGTCTCTGTTAAGCTTTTAATCCTGCTTGTCTGTAAAAAGATAATGATAAACCAACTTTCAGTATATTTTTCTTAATTTATGAAACATTTTTGTTATACATTGATTTGTGGGGGCCAACTTTCATATTTCTGCCAATGTGATTTTTTTTTTTTTGTTCTATATTAGTCATATATAACCAAAAAAAAGTTCCAATGTATATTCAGTTTGAAATGTCTTAATGTTTTTTATTTGTATTTTCCTACATTAAATTAAGAATACAAGCAACGAAATCTTTTTGAGCATTAACCATTTGTCATACAAAAAAGTACATGCTTTGTTTTGATGTCTTTATTTTTTTTTTACCACATACAGTAGATATATGTTTTACATCAAATGGAAATTAAGTATGAATTTTCTTTTAAGATATCAAATATTCACTGTTACATTTCAAAATAAGGTTGTTTTATAACCCAATGGCTAATCTATTTTAGCTTGATTATTGACCTTTCTTATTAATAAGCTATATTTTTACCTCTGTCTCAAAATATTTGTTATACTTAATGTATAAAATATGTGTAAATGCAACAACTATTATGGGATAGATGTTGTTTCTTGTTTGCCTTTTAGAATATATACAATTTTTTCTTCTACATTTGAATAACCTTTCTGATTTTCTTTTACGGAAGCAGTAAATATATGTATTTGATTCTATAAATTAAATCTAATGTTTAACCAAAATGTCATTTAGAATCTTTTGCTTTGTAGGTTTCAGATGCCCCCAAACAAGGTCTGCCTTTCAGAAGAAAAGGTTGCTCAGCAATTACAGGAACTTTCTATAGACCCAAATGCCTGCCTGTCCAGAAACAAATCTTGTGGAATTTCTAGTGAAGACAAAGATAGACATGTGCCATATAAACATCCAGGAAACTGGAGAGGAATTAATTCAGAAGCTGAAAGGTGTGTATTCAATTTCTTAGTCAATAAACCTTTGTTTAGGAGGCAATAGCTCTTGGAGAAGCAATGTGTTTGTTTGTTTGCTATACATAACAAAATTCTCTTCTTGTAGAGCCCTTAGTTTCATTATGCATATTGGACTTGATGGATGGTTTTAATATAAAAATATTCTGTGTCCTTTGTAGGGAAAGAAAGCATCTACTTATTCTCTTATATGGATTTATTAACAGTAGCAATTATCATTTGTAATAAAACCATCTTTCCTCTTTTGGATGGGAAAGTTTTTGTATGCTTTGAAAAAGCAATTTTACTGTACACTATTTCTCCCAAAATATATTACTTTTTTTTTCTTTTTTTTTTTTCGTGGGAAATTTAACAGAAAGAAATGTAATCATTTTATAAGTAAACAAAAAGATCTGGAAAATTAATATTTCTCAGTTAGACATTTGTTTCACTTTGGTATAAAAAATTTATATGGGACAGCTTTTCAGTGCTAATGAATTATTTGTCATTATACTTACTCTTGAGTACTTAGATAACTTAGGTTCCACTATCTTGTGTAGAAAGAAATAACTTGTTTCTGTTAGAAAATAGCAATTGTTCCTATTTTTATTTAAAAACAGGTTATCAATTTGATTTTTGTATTAAGTAGAATTGCATTGCATCTCTATTCATTATGGCTGTTTAAAAATATTTATTTAATCTTTATTATATATACACTTACACAAGTGATAAACGTAGATACCTCCGTGAGATCACTAAAAAAGAGCATAGCATGAATAAAAAGGGCCTTAAACTTGATGAAAATAATTTATTATTGTCTAAATGTTTATTATTAAGAGGTACAATCAAAGTATTTTTGGGGTATCTTTTTAAATATTTTTTTAAAAAAATTTTCCCGTGACTTTAAAAAAGAAAACATATTTATAATAATTTCCATCATTTGTGAATAGTTTATGAAAGTTTAATTAGCATTCAACAATTATTTTTATTTTTGCAAGATTTTCCAAATTAATGTCTGTCATACAAAAAGAAAAGTTGCTAAAATTTTATGTTATTTAGTAGTTCTGCTGATACAAAGAGAAACAAACTTTTTTTTATTCCAAAGTTAGAATGTTCTAAAAAGAAGGAAAAAATTTTTAAAAAATAATTAAAAAATACTTTGTCCTTTCATCTTAATAATAACAAACATTTAGATGATAGAATTTTGTTTTTGTCAAGTTTGGCATCTTTTTCATCATTCTATGCTCTTTTTTTTAGTGATTTCATGGAGGTACTTAGATAAACCTGAAGAAGGCTTTAGAACGGATTAGTAAAATGCTAGCAACAATGTGTTCAATAGTACATAAAACTTTTTGGATTGATAGATAACCTTCCATTTTTGATTGTAACTATTATATTTCTAATGTACCTTTGTTTCTGTCATGTAAATTCTTTACTTTTCTTTTCAGTATGACTTCTAATGAAAAGACTTCAAAATTGTCCAGTATGAGAAATGATGGTCAGTCTTTCAAAAATGTACTTCCACGAAAACTTCTTCAAGAAATGTGAGTTGTGCATTAAAGTATTTTTTCTTCTATACACTCTACATTGATTCATAAATTTAGCCTTTTATTTTTTAAGAAATAGCTATAATCTGACTTGTATATTTGACAATTTTTAAAATTCACTTAGCAGCAAGTACATATTCTCGATAATTGTTTGTCTCTACTGATTTCATAGGTCAAACTCATTACATATAAACTAAAATGCTTCAAATATTTTTACTTATGATTACAACTTTTTTTTTTTTAGCTGTATCTGAAAATATAAGAATATTCCATTTCAGGTTTGAATAAATCATTATTTATACAGCTTCTGATTCAGTACACACAGCCATAATCATAGGGAAGACTGCTGAGTTGACATTTGTTCAGAAGACACACATTTCCACCTCCATCTTGTTTTTCAGGATAAACCTTTAAAGGCCATTGATGAAAGTCTAGGTTGCTTGCAGAGTGCTGTATGAAAGTATATTCATAGAAAGTTGATTAGAACAGAAAAGTGGTAGAAAAATTGTTTTTATCTAGAGTGAGCTTGGAAGGATTGTCAAGCAAAAAATGATTCAAGAACATAGAAGCTTTATAAAAAATTGGACTGAAGAAAAATCAGTGCATCAGAGCCACTGCCAATATGACACTAACCCTTGATCTAAATTGCAATACTTGTGTAAATTCAAATTAACAAAGATGCTCCAACCTTAGGTAGTTCAGAGCAAAGAAAAATGATAATTTTTTTTCTCCTTCAAAATGTCATCTCCAAAAGTTGAACATAAGGATAAATTAATCCTTACAGGTGACTTCAATTTAAATGTTGGCAATGATTAAAACTTGGAAGGTCATTTTAAATTCAAAAAATTGGTTTTGTGAATTTTTGGATTACATCTTCTATATATATCTGCAAGGAATTTGACCTTAATTACCCCTTCTACCAGCAACATGGTCTGTAAGACCATGTGGAAAAAACCTCAATCAATTAAGACTTATCCAATCCAATTGGGATCATCAATAGAATAAGGGACATTGAAAACACTTTTTCAACACATTCATTCCACCACACAACTTGCTGTCAGATCACACTATAATTTAGAGTAAGTCTACACTGCATTGCAAAAGTGAAGGATTATAAAATCTACAGTGCCCAAGCGCATTAACATACTGCCTCTTAAATTGACTGAAAATAAAATTGTGATCTCTGACAAAACTTGATGCTGCACTTCTGTAAACATTACCAATGATATCAAATCATCTTGGATGGTACTTTTATAATATTCACATTCTGTATCCTATGAGGAGTTCTTGATCAAGACTGGTTTAATTTGATATAATACAGAAGTTCATCAGTTTATAGATCAAATTGCACTCTTCTCATAAAAATCATGGATTGAGGACAAGAACTCATCTGATAAGAAGATCACTTACAAGAAGTGTAAAAGTCAGGTTCAATGAGCTCTCAAAGCCATGAAACTTGGTGGTCTGAAAAGGCCATTTTTGAACTCCAAGAAATCCTTCAGATAGAAAAGATCTAAAATTTTCTATGCTGGCCTCAAGTGCATTTTTGGTCCTCAGAAAAGTTATTGCTCCAATCTCCACGGCAGAAGGTAAAACTCTGTTGACAGATAAGTCAGACATTTTAGATTGCTGGAAAGAACACTTCAAAACTGTTTAAACACCCTTCAAAAATCGGTGATGAGGAAACCATCACATCAATTGAGCAAAATCCTGAAATTCCAGAGTTGTCTTTTGAACCTACTTATCAAGAGGTAATTGATGCCATCAAGGAAAACTCATCTGGAAAATCACCTACTCCCTAAGGATCCTATTCCACCTGAAGTGGCATAAGCATGGTAGCAAAAAGTTGGCAAAAAAGTTGCATCTCCTTTTCATGGAGATATGGAAGGCAAGGCTGTGTCCCACAGGATTATAAAGACACCTCTATCAAACACCTCTACAAAAAAAAAGGTTCCAGGTTTGTCTGTGATAATCATCGGGGGATATCACTACTTTCAATTGCAGGCAAAATCCTAGCTAGACTGATTCTAAACAGAATCATTATACACCTTGTTGACGACATCTATCCTGAATCGCAATGTGGTTTTCGGTTGGGTCATGGCACCATTGACATGATATTTTCTCTTCGTCAAGTTGCAGAGAAGGTTCGTGAGAAAAACCAGGAGTTGTACATGGTGTTTGTGGACTTGACGAAGGCCTTTGACACTGTGAATCAAGAGGCTCTTTGGCAAGTCGGAAACTCGGCATCCCTAAAAAGATGCTAAAAGTCATCATCTCTTTTCATGAAGGAAGGAAAGCTAATATCGTGTCTGATGGTATGATGTCAGAATCCTTTGATGTCACAAATGACACCAAGCAAGGTTGTGTCATGGCCCCTGTCCTTTTTTTTTTTTCTTCTCAGTAATGCTGAAATATGCATTTGCAGACACAGAGAGTGGCGTCAAGTTTCAGTTTCAAACAACTGGTGGTCTCTTCAATCATCAGCATTTTCAAAGCCAAGACCCACCTTCGTACACAAATTATTCATGATTTGTTGTTTGCTGATGATGTTGCTCTTGTTGTGACATCATTTGAGGAGGCCCAACATCTAATAAATAATTTTCTCTGCTGCATGTAAAGCCTTTGGTCTTACATTTAGCATAAAAGAAAACTGAAGTAGTGCAACAACCTTGTCCTACTCGAAGCAATTCTGTGATGAGAAACAAAAACCACCAGTCTACAAATTTCCAGAGAGACCATTGAAAGTAGAAGACAAAGCCCTGAACTATGTCAAGTCTTTCACCTATCTTGGTAGAAAAGTCAAACTACAGTGGAACTTTAGATGATGAAATCATGCATCGGATTGCTAAGGCTACCAGTGCTTTCAGCAAACTTCGCCATTGCTTGTGGAATGAGCAGGGTATTCGACTGGATACGAAAATTCGGGTTTACAGAGCTGTTGTACTTGCCATCCTTTTGTATGGCTCAGAGTCATGGACTCCATACAGGTACCATATATGCCAGCTGGATGTTTTCCATAAAAGCTGTCTGCATGCAATCTGTGGAGTTAACCTTCAAGATAGGACATCTAACGTAGACCTGTTTAACAGGTGTAATATTGGAGGAATCGAGACTTTTCTCATACAGTCTCAGTTACGGTGGACTGGTCATGTCTTGAGAATGTCTGATGACAGGATACCCAAGATCCTAATGTACAGCCAGTTAGATCAGGGCTACAGGAATGTAGGACGCCCATGGCTAAGATACAAAGACAAGCTGAAAAGCAACTTGTCAGCAGTCAATATACCACATAACACCCTTGAGCGCTTAGCCTTGGAGCGGGTAGAATGGAGATCAACGTGTTTTAGTGGACTCAGCAATTTTCAATCTGCTTGTCTGAATCATCTTCAAGAAGCGAGAGCAAGATCTAAAAGGTCAGCCAATCTAACAGTGATCACATCTCACAATGCTCACGCTTTGCCCATATGTGGCCTCCTTTGTAAATCACTAGCGGGTCTTAAATGCCACTTAAGATTATCGCACAAAATTTCATAACTGAATCAATAAGCTGTCAGATCCTCATACGTCGAAACCGATTGGAGAGTCCATTATATATATATATATATATATATATATATATATTTATATATATAGATGGATATTTATATTTTTTATTCTGTTATTTAATTATTCTATGGAAGTACATCATAAATATATATAAATATGAAGGAAATATTCTTAATGGCAATCTCACCACTTAAAAATATATATATTAACTTGAATATATATATAAATTTATAAATAAATATCTATAAATGAATCAATGAGATTTGAACATAAGAAAATATTAGGCTAACATATAAGTATTAGAAAGTTGATAGAGGAAATTAATGGCAGTTACAATGAGAAAAATAAAACATGTATAACAGAAAAGATAAATATTGAATACTTATAATTCAAATTATAGCCACATTTCTGAAGGAACTTTATTGAATGGTAACAATTTTTCAGTTGTTCTGATGATGTTTTTACAAATGAAATGAAACAACAAAATAAAAAAACACTGGTTTTCACATATTCCAATCTTAAATACTTGATTAGATATTTCATATCAGATGATATATATATATATATATATATATATATATATATATATATATATATATTTTCCGAAATTATTAATAATATTATAGTATCCAAAAAGATTTCAGAATAACAAAAAAAAAAACTAGTTTACCCTAATACCAAATTTATAAAGTAACAGTTCTTGAAATCTCCAACAGGATTTTTAGCAGATACATTCAATATATAAATGTGAAAATTTATTCTGTTTACTACTGTTATTCAAATTACTAAATGTTTTCATAGCATATATATATATATATATATATATATATATATATATATATATATATATATATATATATACTTGGGTGTGTCTGTATTAAGATCAATTTATTTGAAACTGATATTTTTTCAAAATATTAAAATCATTTTAATTTCTAGAAAATTTTAGACATGAAGTAAACATAAAACAGTACTTTTATTTTTTTTTCTAACTAAGACAACCCAAAAGTACACTGCTGGACATCTCTAATAAAAAACGATGAAAAAAGGACCTGACAATCATTGAGAGGCTTTAAAATCAATTGAACATCCTTGATAAATTTATGATTGTATTTCTTGAAACTATTTTATTCATTCATTTCTTGTTCTCTCTCTTTTGTACTTTTTAAAAGATATAAGATAAAGATTTTTCTGCAAACAAAAAGTCTTTTCTTTAACAAATCTAGTACTGTAAACTGTAAATTTCTTATCAGATGTTTAACCCAAAACTTACCAGTTTATGTAATGATTGTCTTAATTTTTTAAAATATTTTTAAAAAAAAAATTATACACTAGTAATTATTTCTCTGTTAGATTTTAAAGTTATTCCATTTTTTATATTGTATCATTTCCTTCCAAAAGAATATTTAATTTAATGATCCAATAAATAGATTTTGAGATTTCATCCTTTTTGAA